TTTTCAAGAGGGGTCTTTGTTCGCCTTGTCAGATTTGGATGGGAAGGCTTTTGTCCAGGAAGGTTTTTGTCCTGCACTCCAAATTGTGTAATATTATGTATGACAATAAATACAGGGGTAATAAAAATCTATCTTCAATTACAATTACTAATGAAAAAGTCGTCTTATGATACTTTAAACAGAAGACTTGATGCGTCTTTTGGTCATTATATCATTCGTCCGGCTATTTGTTACAAATATCAATTCACCTGTGAAGTACTTACCGCTTTAATTCATTCAAAAATTTATGTTTTCTTTCTGACATAACTGAAAATCACGTCTATCAAAGTCTTTAAGTATTCCACAATATAGTCTTTTTGCCCTTCGCAGAATGGGCATGCGCGAAATGCATCATCCGTTACAGGATCCATGTTGTTCGCTATCAGTTTCTCTACTTGTTATACGGTTTGTAAGCGAACAGCATGGATCCTGGTCAGACTGCCATGATGCGCAGGCTGGTCTGGAGCCATGCTGGTCGTAAACGCACTGTGTTGGTTTTGTCGTGACGAGGCTCATTTATTGTTACAATGTATTCATAATTGTCAGATTACTCTATTAACTCCTGTGAGGTAAAACTTTAAATTTTTAATCAATGTTCACGAAATTTTGTGCGAATACAATCATACATAATGCATGTGCACTGATTTATCTGGTTTCAACTTAATATTCACCAGACCATGGGGAAAATTAAAATACGGACGCATTTTCGGGCAATTACTTATCAATATAGATTTAGAACAAAACATATTAAATATATACATGTATATAATTATGCTTATAAAACATATGTAAAATATGTACTGCAAATATTTGTACATATTATGTTATCATTAAAATATATGCATTAATTTCTTATTGAAAATTTGACTTAAACTTTATACAAAATAATTTATTTTTTATTACCTCCCTTTATTTACATGAAATGTTAAATTCGGTTATATCTTTACAAATAAAGATTTTTGAAACCTAAAATATTAATAAATGTTCTTTTGAGCATCATATTTATGATGAACAACCATAAAAAATGCGATACAGGATCTTTAAATTTTATTTTTTTTTTAATCAATATTTCCTTGAAGAAATAAATTGGATATCTAAATCTTTCGTAAACATGTTATCAATGAAATAATTTTTATTCTGTTAGTCTATAATCAAATATATACTAGTCAGCAGCTTTGGACTTTGCAAGCATGTAATAATGAATCTTAATGAAGTTGTGCATTATGCAGCAATTACTATATTTAATCAATCATGATAATTTTAATGGGTTACTGTAAGGAATTAAACCTAGTATACTTATCAGCAATGCCAAATAGTCAATCATTATTGATCATATTATATTGATATCTTTTCTTTTTTTTCTCCTTCAAAATATTATCTAGTAATTTTTTTTATAATACCATCCGTAAAGGGACTCCTCTGAGGTTTTTTTTACATGATGGGACTGTGAAAATATTTTTTCCAGATAAATGTACCATTTGATGTAGGTTAAGACCACAGATCATTCGCGCACTTTTCACTCAAATCAGGCTAAGAAAAGCATAAAAATACGATTTTCAATTTATTTCAAAGTATATTTCTTAACTATCTTTGCATATATTTCTGTTTAAAGTACCCCAGCTCATTTATGTACGAAATGCAAATGTTATGTTTTTAGGCTTTTAAACCTCAGTGGAGTCCCTTTAAATGATACACATTTAAAATTGCGCTCTTTCGGACTGAAAAGATTTGGGTACATTAAATGGACATTATGTTCATTTTTTCATTGTCAAGTTGAGATAAATCATAAATCTAGCATTTATTTCAAAATGACTGACAGTTATAATGGTAATTGACCAACAGTTGATATTGGAAAAAAAATAATGTTAAGGAAAAAAGGTACAACTGCTAAAATATAAAAAAGACTGCCCCACTCTTTTTATAGATTTGAAGTTGCAGGTGAATTCCGGTGCATATTTACAGAAATAGAATTTCCTTGGGTCACGTGAGTTATTTGTCGTTCATGCGGAGTAGATTTTAAAATTTAAAGGAATTATGGCACTGGCTAAATATTAAGTTATTTTGACTCTTTCCTGCCCATTCACTATATTCCCTTGGATGGGGATGATGTCACTTTAAAGTAGGGCATGACATGGCTATCAGTTGATATATAGAAGTGAGATCAACTAATGATATCTTGACATATCTTGGTAATTTTGAGTAGTTGAACCCAAATTGCTGATATTCATGTTAAATTAAAGAAGTCATGATGATAACCAAAATTAGGCCCTCCTGAAAAATGGCGTGAGTTACATGGGCACGCACCTCGACTCATACTATAATATTAACTAATTGCTGTGTTACATTGCTTTAAAATACATCAACAATAAAAGCCTAAAAACATTATTACATTAATTACTCGTTGTTCTTGTATTATATTCAAAAGGTGCAGTCATTTCATTAAGGTTATTACGCACTATTGATTTATAAATTCCTTACTTCATAACACAGCTTTATTTATTTCTAGATAAGCAGATACATCTTAATGTATATAATTTTCTTCATTGACATCACTACCACACTACGTAAATCAAAACCTTACAATGTATAGTATTTAGTCACTAAATGATTAAAAGGAAAGTCCAAGTTTTCAAGGCTTCTCAACAAAAAATTGACTGCGTCACAATCAAAACCCAACACAAGTCTGTAATCACACACCTGAATTAAATGCATGTCATAATTTCATAATTAACATACACTTTATTACACCTGTTTGAAAACTATGAAGTATAATTATATCAATGTCAATAATTAAAATCACAAGTCAAGTCAAGTCAAATAGTTTATTAATGTCTCTTCATACGTACAACATGATATAAAACTGTAGTTTAAAACATAATAAAATACGTATGCCTTTCAATACAGAAATATAAGAGACAAATCAATCTATACATGCTACATTATTTCTTCCCTCTTTAACATAAATAAACAATGCACACTCTGAAAATAAAATCCAAACGGGGAGATATCCATCTCCTTTTTTCACTGTTTTATGTCTTCTGCATACCCTTTAACCTGAAGAGCTGATTTTTTAAGTAGATGCCTTTACGAAATAGAGTTTCGGCTACGAAATCGACACCTTTTTCAATTTTCAACTTAATGGACATAGCTACAACTGACGTGGGACATTTGACATAAAACTATAAATTTAATTAATTAGTTGGATTATCATAAAAATTGTAATTAAAATTTATCAAAAATTTAATCTTTCCCATGTACTCCAGCTCTATCTGAAAAAGGGACTTTTGCTTCGAAATATGTGTGGAAGCGAACATTGATACAACATGTTATTAATTCTGATGTTCAAAGCAGATATTTGTCCATTTCGTAGGCGAAAATACCCTTTCGTAGGGACCAGATACGATCATTTTGAAATATAGAAACATTAATAAGAAAGTAGTTATGCCAAGTAGTTTAAGCTATATTTTTATATATTAAATGTCCGTTTTTAAAAATGATATCAATTATTGCGCAGATATACTTTAGCTCTATGATTTTTGCAATTAAAGCATATTATATTTTAAAACACAGATGTTCATTTCATAGGCGAAAATTCCAATGCGATTATTTTTGAAGATACGAGTATAAATAAGTTTAAAAAAATACAATTTTGTGTTATATTTTACATGCTCGTTATTAAAAATAAAAAAAATCGTACATATGAAAGTGTCCATGTATTAGCTAACAGAGGGTAGACATTATTGCAAACGGACCTTATATATATTTTACTTATGTAATTGTTAGTCAAATGTCTAGTCAATTGTAACCCCGACCAAAACTTCCAACCGTTATGATATGTTGCCTGCTAACGTTTTGATGTGCACATGTTTACTAGATCTTCCCAGTATGTAGAGCGTTAAACGCAAATTATGCCTCAGAAATAAATGAATTCCTCCTACTTTAGAAAGGGCAAGGCAAACATGAGTATTATAACGTATCAAAAATCGTTTTTAGAGCATGTTAGACGCTTATTACAAAAAAGAATGTAAAGCTGAATTTGAAATTATTTGTCATTAAGGTAGAAAAATGTTAACAAAGTAGTATTTTGACTTCCATATAAAATACTCAATCACTATAACGATACTAACTTCAAAAAGCAACAGAAGTAAAAGATCGGGCAAATGGCCAATGAGCAACTTTTTAAAAAAATATTACAGGACACCAAAAATTAAAAGATTTTGAGAAATAATAATAGAAGCATTTCTGAGGCATAGTAGCGCTGAAGTCGGTGTTTGTAGGCGTGATAGAGGATGCATTTTCTATACTTCTCATGAAAATCTCATTAAGTTTCTTCTAATTTATTTTCATATTTATATTCTTTGTTGATGTAGTTGTGTAGTTGTTGTTGTTGTTGCCATTTTTGTTGCACGTACTTTAATGTCTGGCTGAATGGCGATTGTCTAGCTAAACATCATTAGAATGTTGATTGTTTGGTTTAACAATCGTTTTGATAATAGAAGGATATCTCCATGGGGTAGAATGTTGAGGTGAATGTTGATTGTTTAGCTCGAATTTTTTAATCTGACTGTTGATTGTTTAAGTCATCATTTATTTAAGGAAAACTAATACATTTTCGTATATCGAATGTTGAGCTTAATGTGGCTTACCTAGCAGGACATTCGACGTTTCTGTCCCTGTCTGAAATTTCATGTTTGGTATATATTATTCATATAATTTATAGTTTTCACACGTGATTTGGCGAGATGGTTGTTGGGAAATAACGATTCAAAATTTATCTATTTTATAGTTTTACCAAATCTTTACACCCGTTAACAGTTGATCAAAATGGAATTGATACATGTACAACCATTGGTTATTCTAATAACTGTTATTAAGTTTTGTTTAGTAATTGCTGGAATACAAATCGGCTACAAACGCATGTCTTCTATACAATCTAACGTTTGTCCGAACGTTAACGTTTGTCAGCAAAATGGAGTGTCTTAATATTTGCGCTTGAAAAAGTAACTGCACCGGAGTCTTTTTTCAGTCAGCCAACCAACACTGCATACTTTGTTCGGCCAGGTACTTGACACAGCAAAACTCGAACATGTCTGCAAATTATACATTCTATGGTAAGATTAATTTTAATTTATTCATTTGCCTCCGATGATTTACACTTTAATACTAAATAGTTATTTCATGTTGTGAAATATTGCTCTTAAAATAAACCTTTCGAAGTCTGACAACCTTAATAAAAACTTTTAACGGTATTTTGGTAAACAGACAAACTTATGTTATTAAAATATAAAGTTTTCATAGATTTATTCGAGAAAAATAGCAAATATGTCGATATCTTGTACATTTTTCTCCGTGAAAACCAACCACTGTTTAACTACATTTCAATATATTTGCAAAAGAACCGTTTATGTCGACATTAAAATTAGGAAAGATGCCTTGATAGACTGTCTCCATATACTCGTACATATGTCAATATTGTATACTAGTAACAGCGATCAAACAAAAAGAAATTCAATCAAAGCAGACGAGCAAAACGCAACATAAATGATGACAATAACAATTTAAATGTTATATTACACAGGAAAAGAAAATGATATTAACGTACATATGTATCATTTTACGTATTTTTATGAAAAAGAATGCAATAATTGATCCATTATCTGAAATTCTTCTCTTTAAAATCACTGAAGTTAAACTAGAATAGAATAGTACCGCCTCCGTGGTCAAGGGGTTAGAGTCGATGACTTCTTATCCAGATACCTCTCTGGCGTGGGTTCGATCCCCGGGAAATGCTTTGGCAGTTTAGCGCGGAGGAAGGTAGTCTAGTACTGGTGTAACTCTCCAGGAACGATGGTTAGGAAACTACCCGCTTATATGACTGAAATACTGTTGGGAAAAGGATTAAAATGAAACAAACAAACAAACAAACATAAACTAGAATAAGGGACCTATGTACTTTATATCTGTTCTCTAAGTACGTTATTTGTATCTTTGTTTAATATGAATTTCTGTCAGGTTAGTTTTGATTTATTTGTGTTAAACTTATTAACTACAATGTTACTATATCTTTCACCATTGCCTTCCAAAGGAGCCAATTCAACAGTGACTGTTTATTGGCTAGTGAAACAGTTACTGACAAGGAGCAGCGCCCAGGTATTTTTCTGATATGTTTTTTATTATTAAAATGCTTGAAGAATAAAATATTTAATTTCACTGATCAAAATGAATTTAAGGTAGAAGTAAAACTATTCAAATGTGGTAGACAATGCGATGTTATCTCAAAACAAATACTAACGACTTGGCTGATGTAAAGTTTTTCTTTATTTAGACTTTGGATTGTAAAATGAACATATTTAAGAAAAAATAAGGAATTATCAAATCGTATCACATTTTAATGGAAAATAATAAAATAGCCATTTTACCAGCCCATGGTTATAGGAAAGGTAAAAATGAGTTATTATCTGCCAATGCTGCGTTAGGATATTTCAATAGAATATCGATTATTAAACATAACGGCTACGATGTTGTCATAACCTCATGTTGTCATAACTTCGTCCTATCAGATAACAAAAATAATATGGAGGTTTTTTTTGTTATTTCAATTTGAAATGTGTTTTGTTCTCATATATGAAAACTAGTTGATATGTGTTTTAAGTTTAAGAATTTCAAATATGATAGCTTCCTTTATTTTAACTTACCACTTCAGTTAAAGTAGTTAATATCAAACTTTGAACAAACAAACAAAATAATTATTATTAATTATTATAAATAGAGATATAGATTCAATAACATCAAGTTCAGAGTTCAAAGTTTATTAAAGCACTACTCGTAAATATCATAAAGTAGAATTTTCACTGGAAATTACACATCATTTACTTACGCATTTATCATTTAAATTTGCAGGAAAACTGCGAAAACTTCGGCGCGCAGTTAGTATCAATTAAGACGTCTGCTGAAAATAATTATCTGATGCAGTTTGTTCTTGCTGACTGTAAGTGGAATTGCCATATATGTTTATTGAAAATATGGCCAAAGACATTTTACAAGTCGGTAACCAATAAATTTTGAAACCTTGAAACCTTGATAATCAAAATAATTGTTCATGTAATACACAATAAAACCAGGCCTATAGTCACTTATAAACATTCTTCATAATTTCTTTTTAGAAACTGGAATTTAAAAAATGCATTAAGTCCATGTAGACGTGCTCAAACAGTTTTATGAATTATTGATTATGTTGATCTTCATAGAAGAAATACAGTTTGTTTATGGTACTTGCACAATGAACAAAATACAAACATATAAAAAATAAAAATATAGAATAAAACAAAAGGCATCGTTCCTGTCTTTTTAGGTGATCAAGTCATATGGACAGGTGGTGTCGGGCTTGGTGGACGAGAAAGCACGTTTAAATGGGCAGATGGATCACTGATTGGAAGCGGATTTACAAACTGGAGGTGGGGACAACCGTATCCGGTCAATAATGATGATGCTTGCCTGAGCTTGATTCCTAATTGGAACTTCCGATGGAACGATGGAGCTTGCACCGTCGAGCATTACAGCATTTGTAGTTTTAATTAAATCTAAAGTAAATATTCAGTTTTACTTCTGAGAAATATTGTAGTGTTAGCTATCTGATTTTAAGCAATACTTTGTCTCGATTACGATTTTATGTAATCTTTATTTTGAATTATTATCTTTCCTACGTATTACACTGGACCGTACGGCATAGTGTTGACATAAGTGAAATATTATTAAACCTCATCCTCATTTCACTCATGTAAGTTATTATGTCGTCATTCTATGAATGAGTTGCATACTGTAGTGTATGACGTTATTACGCTGAATGAACATGGACCTTGGTGCCATTGATTATCTATTTTTTGAAAGAAGTAGAGGTAAACAAGAACAGCCATTTTTATTGACAGTTTAACACAGGTTACTTTCTTCTTTGTGTGCAGTGACAAGATTATAGCAGTGTCGATGCTATTTTATATTACATTCTTTGATTAAAATGTTTATAAATGATAAGAAGAAACTATTTTGCTTTTTTATATTGACTTTAAAAAGCATACAATATAATTGACAGGAACTGGCTGCCTATGGTATAAATTGATAAAATGTGGTATTGAAGCAAAATTGTTTTCTGTAATATATTTAATGTATAAAGTTGTTAAATTGTGTGTGGAACATGTAACTTACGTTGTCTTAATTTTTCAGTAGCGAAATGGATCTCTTTCAAGATGAGATAACTTCACCTATTATGTTCAGTCCCTTTTTGAATGATTTAGAAAATATGCTGCAAGAAAATTAAGATGATGGTATAACATTAGATCAGATATCGATTTATTTGCTATTATTTGCAGATGACGCCGTTATCTGTTCTGAATCTGCTCAAGGTTTACAAAATGCCTTAAATAGTTTAGAAAAATATTGTAACAAATGGCATCTTTACTGTTAATGTAGATAAGACTCAGAGTGTTGTGTTTAGAAAAGCTGGAGTTTTGAATAAAAGTTATAAGTGGACAGATGGGGGGGGGGTTAAATCTAGATAGAGATTGTAAAAACGTTTAATTACCTAGGTATTGTTTTGCGTTCATACCAGCGACCAACACACTACAAGGTAAAGCACTACGGGCTATGAGCTCATTATTAAATGTAACAAGAGATAAGCAGGTTCCTATTGATAGTATGTTCTACTTGTTTGATGCATATGTTCTACCGATTCTAAATTATAGTTGTGAGGTATGGGGTAGCATGCCATCGGAAAATTTTGAAATTATGCATAGGAAATTCTGTAAATGGATGCTCAATGTGAAAATGTCAACAAAAACTCTTTTATTGTTTGCAATTGTATATCAAATTATATTTTTAATTGTCGGAGATTGGAGATAGAGTTAAAAAAAACTAATACTGTAAATTGGTTGCCTAAAGTCATGTGCGGGATTAAATGATGTGTGGATGTATCCAGAATCATTTCAGCTTTATATATTTATACAAGTCCTACATGGTCGTTTAACCCTTTCCCTCATATAGACGTGTTTTGACGGCTTTTTGACCCCCCCCCCTTTTTTTTGAGGCCTCAAACAGTGAAAAAATACCCTATTTACGCCCCTAATACTGTTGTTTGGGAAATGTTGCTAAAAAAGTGATCACCTTTTCGGCGCCGCCCCCATCAAAAAGGTACATCAGGGGGTTGTGCCCAATTCTGTTTGGGGGGCTTGAAGGGGGGCGGTAGTCCCCCTCATCGCCAAGAAAATTTTGGACTTGTGAGAGGCTAAACAATGACCCCAGGTCGATCATCAGGTAATGTGTAACCAACGCTGAAAAGCCTTTGACTCTATCTCAATCCATTGAGAAGTTGCAGCACTTTGAAATCAATTTTGATGAAAAATAGTGATTTTTGACAATTTTGAGAAGTTCCCTCGTTGCCATGGTAACATGAAATTTAAAAATGAGCATGTCGAGGCAATGATCGAGTCAACATTTGTGCCAAGTTTGATTAGTATTGAAGCATTTTTCATAGTTTCATAGCAGTTTGACTTTGTAACTGGAGGCTTTTCAATGAAAACGGTCATTTTTCACAAAATGCTCATGAGGGAAAGGGTTAAAAGATATTTATAAAACACATAAGCATTCTTGTGTACATATTTGTTCTTCTAAGTTGTTTTTGTTTGTTGTTGTTTTTTTTTTTTGTATAAAAATATTAAAACCGATTTTTAGCAGGTTTAAATACATGGATATTGTTGACTCTATAAAATTAAAAAATACATTAGGTAAACTCAGATTATCATCTCACAACGGGTAGACATAAGTAACCGAAAATGTTCTGTTTGCAACAATAATGACATCGAAGATGAATATCATATTTTATTGATTTGCTCTATGTATGATTCTCTTAGGAAACAGTATATATCCAACTATTTTGCAAGAAACCCTAGCATGTTTAAATTTTTAATATTGCTGAACTCAAAAAGGAAGTCAGTGTTAACAAAATAAGCTATATATTGTAATAAAGCTTTTAAATTAATATTTGATTCATTTAATGCCGGATAATGAATTATAAGACCACCTTGGTGTATTGATAGTATAATATTACATGGGTTGTATTACACTCTCACTAGTTATTTCATTTATTGATCTGCATTCTCATTTTTCATTTTCATGCATGTATTTATTGTTGTATATGAAGATGAGTTGTATATGCTTAATTAATTCAAAATAAAATGAATGTTCTGCTTTGTTCTGTACTAGCTTTTTGCCCCTGCATCAAACAAAATCGGAAAATATTCACTTTGAAATTTCGCTGATTTTCATATATCATTACCACAGACGCTTGGGGTCATGTCCTGTCCCCCAGTCTGATCAGGATCCATGCTGTTCGCTTAAAATCCCTTTAACAAGTAGAGAAACTGATAGCGAACAGCATGGATCCTGATCAGACTGCGCGGATGCGCAGGCTGGTCTGGATCCATACTGGTCGCAAACCCACTATGTTGGTTTTGTCATGAATAAATTTAATATACCATACATTAACATTAAAATCTTACAAATATATGGACAATCATAAAGTAAAACAATTCCTTATTTAATTGTTCCGACCAATAGAAATTCGCATTAAAATTATAAGAATTAAAGAAGATTTATTTCTTCATATCGCATGACCGCCACAACTTTCCTTTGAAGATCGGCGTTCTCCAAATTTCAGTATTGGAAAACTTTGGGGTGCTCTGAACGCTTTGGGGTGCTCTTAATGAGGTATCAGTACACTTTCTCGCGCATGCCCAGTTTATTATTTTATTTCAAATAATAAAGTGAGCATACCTGAAAAGGAGCAAAACAAAACATTACACAGTTGACAAAACTTTTAAAAAAAATATTTACATAAAATCTCGATATTTTTTTCAAAACCTGAAAAAGAATCTATCTAACTTTAAACAATGCCTTCGTTTTACAGAAGATTCAATCAGTAAATCACTACACATAATGAACATAATATTCTAGCGTAATTATTAATAGATGGAGGTAGTGTTAAGTAAAAATCACTACATTGTCGTTAGTTTAAAAGAAATACGCGTACAAGATATACCTCTGAAATATAATACCGGGATTCTTATCGACAATATTTCCTAGATTATATTTTGAAAATGAGCTGGAAAGATGATTAATATTTTGCATTAAGAAAGAATGCATCAACTTACCTCGTCAAATGGTTATTTTTGTCCAGTTCCTTCAACGGCATCTAATGGGTGTATTTCTGTGTGTATTTCTAAAAATATTTATATGTTTAGATAAAGCAAATATTACGAGAGAGCGTAAATCTCCATGTGGTCATGCGATAAAACAGAACTGTTACAGAATAAATACTCGAACTTCACCGGCTGGTATCAGCGCATGTGGCGACAAAAGGGTCAATCATGGAAATTAATCTCGACGTTCCGTCTCGATTAATTTCCTATGATTGACCCTTGTTGTCGCCCCATACGCTGATACCAGGCGGTAAAGTCCTCGTATATATTCTATAACTATTATATACAGTGTGTCTGTAAGTTCGTGACCTTGTAACTAAGTTCAGCAATATTTACGAAACGTGTGTACGTGACATGACCTACAACAAATGAAATCCAATACTCACTTTTATTCGGCTTTCATTTGACAGACGTGAAATACTTCTTGATAATTGGACCAGTGTGAGTACATTATTTGTTCACAAAAAAATCTTAGCTTCATTATTTTATTTTACAGCTTTGTTAAGTGTCAATTCTTGCGATTCAATGCAAATGCAAACTAAGATTTCAAGCAAAACAAAACAATCATCCCAAAGATTACCAAGTCATGTAAAAATGTTTCTGTCATTCCATGTATAAACATGACACAATGATGTGATAAACATGAATAAAAGTACAATAAGGCTCAAATAGCAGTTAATTAACATAATATAAACTAAAGAACAACTATTATAACAGTAAACAATTTGATATTAAATAGATATCAAATGTGAGTTTTATATACATGTACTTTCAAGTATCAAGTATATGGAGAGCCAAACTTTTTGTATATTTATCAAACATATAAGTAAAACTAAATACCCCATATAATCAGGAAGCAATTATAAGTGCTAAACATACAGTACTCTGTATATAAACAGGGATACAAAGCATAAGTTTAACAACAGTAAATGTGTATCAATGAGAAAGGTACATTAATATGGTATGAAGAAATGTGATATATCACAATTTATACTTTCCCTTTGCATCATTTATGAATTTGATAGTGAACTATGTCAATAATGTCACAACTTCCTATTTTGTTTCAATTTTCTTACAATTGTTTCTCATTTATATTTCTGTAAAACAGAAATATCCAATACGGAAAACAAATTAAATTGATGTTTCAAGTGGGGGTCAATGTCGAATGTTAATGTGTCTAGTTACTACACGTTGTCGTCCATTAACTGAGGGAAATCAGATATTTCTAAAGCCATCACAATTATTATATCGTTTATTTAGTGATTCGATATTCTCTGACGATAAACCTTGACATTTGGCATTTTAACTGTTAAATCTCATCAATTAACAAGTTTATCATGTTCACACACTCAAGATTTGTTTCAGTTATGACAAATGACTGCATTTAATGTTTACAGCAGTGATTTATAATTTAGAATTAGGTTAATTATTATTCCTAATATATTTTCTTAGATAAGTTCAGCAACCTTTTGATTAAAGAATTGTATGTTGCCAAATAATTATATCATTTATTATTTTTTGCAAATAGCAAAACAGTGCGTTTTTCATCAAGACTTTGAAAGAAGTGTATATTTTATTTACAAAGTAAAGTAAGAAGCATGACAAAAATAGTGATAAGATTACATTTATATTGGTAGCATTGCTAGAGCTTCTTATATGCGTACATCCTGTGATCACATTTATTACAAAGATTTTACAGGCGACACACTAGGAAAAAGAATTGCTTCATATTGAATAATACACTTATATAATATAAAAGTATAAAAAAAAGAAATATATATGACAGCATTGATGAACATATATTGGTAAAAGAAATACTAACACGTGGAAAAGGGTGTAGTTCAAAGGAGTTTATGTCTGCAAGTTTTGAGCGACAATGACATTAAAGTAAGGCATGCCATCATCAATGAGCTTTTCGCAAGGTTATCAACAAATTATGAACATCGTACTCATAAAAGTAAACCACATGTTTGTCTTCTGATTATTGTTTCCATTTATAGATATACTAAATTGAAAATGCTATGTCTTCCTGAACAAGCTTTTCCTAAAAGTACGTCTTACTTAAGGTATTTTATATGTCTTATGAGACTCTAAGATCAGTGAATTTAATGTCAACAATAGAGTATTTGTAATTCATCAAAACTGGTTAATATGTTTTTATGATTATTTGTTATATTATAACGCAAAACTCACATATATGCATACCAGTAAAATATCGAATTTGTTAAAAGAGCAACTACAAGCAATTAATGCATATATGTATATGAATTTATATTTCACTGAAACCAAGTGGAAATTTAATTTCACTGAAACCAAAACGAATATTATAGAGAAAATGTTTACACATTCAATAAAACAATTATTGTAAAATTGTATGTCTAATCTTAATAAAGAAATGATCCACATTCTGTAATAAAATTTGAACATATTCACTTTCTTGGATAAGTCAACTTAGGTCCGTGGCCGAGTGTCAAGGTTGTTTAATTCAAACAGAGTTGTGTTCTTAAAACCACTTGCCACTCACTACTGTGGGTTCCCTACAGGGGTTTTCTCATGTAAGGAAGCTATCCAGCTAGCTTAAGGAACATCGGTGATTCTACTCAGCTGTCTATTCGTGCCTGGTATAATGTAAGGAAGGACACTCGAAATCTTCCTCCGCAAGTAATTGTGTACTATGTTGGTGCTACGTAAAACCCAGCCAAAATATATGTCACCTTAAACAATTGAGATGTCTTCAAGATAAGGTCCATAGTGTTCTTCTTTTTTTTGTTATTTCAAA